AATGGGGCGGGAGAAAGGCAGCCCCGTCGGGAAGCTCCTGGCTAGGGGCTGGTGGCACCAGGGCAGGTCCCTGGGCATCGTCCCTGCAGCCCTGCTCGGGGATGGGGTGACAGGGGCTGGGAGAACGGGGTCTGGGAGACCCACAGCCATCCTCGATGTGCCTAGCACTTTGCCTCACTGGTGTGGCCCCCCAGCACTGACAGCCAGCCACAGTGGGGACCGGGGTGTCGGGGGAAATGAGGGTCTAGCTGCGGGCCCTACGTTTCCAGCAGCAGCTCCTTGTGGGGCTGTCAATCCCCTCTGCCCACTGGCCCGGCGTGCAGCACTGTGCTCCCATGGGCTGGTGCAGGGCCCGGTGTCCCCGGTGTGGGGCAGTGGGTCTCACCGTGCCACACTCAAGCTGCTGCAGGGAGCATGAGGGGTGGCGTGCCCGGGGCAGGATGTCTGGTGGTGGCACAGAGGTGGCCTGTGCAAGGTGGTGCAGCCAAACCAGAGCGTGGAGGGATGCTCGTCTAGGCATGTTGTGGGGTGTCAGGGTATGGGAGGTGCCTGGCTGCATGTGGGGGGTAGGGCTGGAGGTGTGAGCTGGCAGGACTGGGCTGGTGTCACTGGGGCTGGCACGTGTCCCGGGGGGGGCACAGTTGGGTGCTGCCATCTCATGGATGGGGCATGTCCCAAGCTACCGGGTGGCCGGTGCAGGAGGGGACGGGGACAGGCACTGGGTGCCGGCGTGCGGGGGGCCACGCGCCCGCCCTGCACACGTGTGTTGTTCACGTGCGCGCCCCCGGCTGCTGCTGCTCGGACCCCAGATGGTTGCCCGAAAGCGCCCGCCCGTCCCCCCGCCCTCAGTGCACCCTCACCCCTCCCCCCGTGGGACACAGCAACCCCACCAGGTGCCACCCCACACTGGCAAGGGGGTGAGTGGGGAGGATGCGGGGTGTCCGGGCGGCAGGAGGGTCACGGCACAGCCCTCCAGCTAGCCAGATGGTCTCCCGCAGGGCAGTGACCTTGCGAGGGTTGTCATGGAGACCCCATGATGTCGCCAGCGGTATGACGTCAGAGTGAAGTAGCATGGCACCAGGCTGGGGATGTGCCAGCAGGCAGGCTTGTCCCTGTGCCCCTGTCCCCCATGCCCGCTTCCTGCAGCCCTCTAGTCCCAGGGGTTGAGGTCGGCCGTGTAGGGCTGGGTGGCTGCGTGGGTGACGGACATAGGGACAGGAACATGTCTGTGGGGCTGGGGGCGTGGGAATGGGGGGCTCTGAGGGGACATGGCCCTCTGCCACTCTCCAAACACAGGTCCCCACCACAGCCAGCGAGGCAGCGGTGCCCACGGGGAGGGCAGCGCTGCCCACCGGAGCGTGCGGGGCTGTGAGCAGCTGGACCCCGCTAATGAGGCCTCATTAAGCAGGATGGGGCTCAGCCCGCTGCGAAGGCTGCCCTGCCTGTGCCAGCTATGGCGGGGGAGGGTGCCTGACTTGTGGGGGCATGGCTCGTGGGGGGGGAATCTGAGGTACAGGGGGTTCCCCGTGGTGTGGGACAGGCAGGGATGATGCCGGGGCGGGCGGCATGGTGGGGCACCGGTGTCACGGTGGGGCGGGCAGCGAGGGGCCGGGCCTGACTGGGAGGCAAGCGGGGAGCGGTGCCAAGTGCCGGAGGCAGCGGGTGGGGGGAGTGGGCGGGTGGCTGCTGCGCTGGAGCCCGAGGTGCCAATGAAGCTGGGGACTCGCCGAGCCGGCCAGCCTGGCCCCCTGGATGGCAGCCGCGGGCAGCTGGGCCCCCCCAGACCCCCTCAGCAGGTCAGTGGAGACGTAAGAGCTGGATTTGGGGGGGCAGAGTGGGAGGCCGGGATGGATAGCAGCCGTGCCAGCACCATCTCCCAACTGCCATCCTTCTCCTAGCCCCTTTGTGCCGGCTCTGGGGCAATGGCTCTGCAGCACTGAGGTGCAGCTGCAGCTCTACGTCGTGGGGCGCTGGGGAGGCACCCCCAAGCCCCACAGCCAGGGAGATGGGGTGCCCTGGGGGAGGAAGGGCACAGCTCGGCACCAGGCACCTCCACGGCCTCAGCTGTGTTGGCAGTGAGAAGAGATTGCCTGGCAAGTGTGTATTTGTTAACTCTGGAACCTACTGATTGCAAGAGGGGTGGACAGCACCCCTTTGCCTTACTCAGTGCTGCAGGAGAAGAGTCTAGTGAAGATCCTTCCCCTTCTCCTGACATTTCATGGGCATCAGCAAGCAATGTCAAAGCTTGCTCCAGCCCCCCATGGCACCCCCGGGCTGGGCTGGTGCTGCTGCAGGTGGCTGGCAAAGCGTGCTCAGGGCTATCAGTGGGGCTAGGCAGCCTCCCCACATCAGGGTGGGGGGAGGTGGTCAGTGCTGTCTAGCACTTGCCAGGGGGAAGGTCCTGCTGTTTGGACATCCCCCTCAGCGCTGCATCACCCTGGCCCTGGGAGTGCCCCCTTGCCTGTGCCCCCATGCCGTGCCTCTGTCGTATCAGGGTAGGGATAAACGTGGGACTGGGCACTACAGAGAGAGGAGAGGGATGGCTGGGATGTGCTGGCGGGGCTGGCAGAGCCGGGACAGGCAGGCTGGGATGGCACTTCAGCCTCTGGTGTAGGGCTGGGCCGTGTGGGTTCATTACCGCGTGTGCCGGGGACAAGGAGTGCAGGGGCTGGTTATAGGGGCACCCAGCCCACTGCAACAGGATCCACAGCAGGATCCATGGACAACCAGTGGGGGCACCCAGGACACCCCTCTCCAAGTCACTCCATCCCTCTATCCCCAGGAACCCCCACCCCAGGCAGGGGTTCCCTGCTCCAGGCATCCTGCACCCCACTTCCCTGCTCTGGAAGAATGGCTAATTTGGCAATGTCATTAGCGTCTATTTATACCTTCCATTGGCCCCCACCTTGCCCAGCCATGACTGCGTCACTATTGCCATGGTGAAGAGCAATGACATCAGGCTGATGACATCAGGGGCTGATTGGTAGCCTGTATTGGTATTGCGGGAACAGCGCAGGGCCACGGCAGGAATTGGGGGTCCTCCTTAGATAAGGCTGATGCCCCATGGGGCACTTCTGCTGGGCTGAAATACCCCTCGGTGGAGGGGGGGGGGGCGGGCTGCAGTTTGGAGGAGGGGCAGGAGAGGGGGAAGTGAGGGAGACCATGCTGGAGATACCTCCCATGGGGACATCCCTTCCCAGCATCGCCACTGCCACGAGCTTCCCAGCCATAAATCAGGGCCCCTTCGGGAAGTGGGGGGCATCCGGGCACCCCAGCCAAGCTGTCATTGTGCAAGGCGATGCTGCTTAGCATGAGAAAGGCTCCGGTGCCAGGCGGCGTGATGGATGATGCCTGCTCCACTGGGCTGGGATGCTTTGGCCATGTGGGGGGGGTGGTCCCTGGGGAAGGGGGAGGAAGAGTGCCTGGGGTATCATTCCTCCCCTCCGCGATGTTTTCACCCAAGGCAGGCATCTTTTAGGGCTGCGTGGGAGCACATGCATGGAAAATTTGGGATGTGGGAGCAGGACCCCACCATATAGAGGCTGAATCCTTGCTGGGCGTCATCTCCCCCTCCACAGCCCAGCTCTGTCGCAGCCTCGCAGCAGTGATGGGGGCAGTTGTCTCACCTTCCTGGGTGCCTGGGTTCTCTGCGCCCCCCCTCCCTTTTACTGTGTGGGGTTGGGAGGGAGGTTAATGAGTGTAAAGGACAGGGTGACCTTCCCAGATTTGGGGAGAGGGGGGTTTGGAGCAAGCTGAGGGGTGAGCACGCAAGTGTGTGTGCATGTGTGTGTGTTTGTGCACGCGTGGGCACACGTGTGGCTGCCCCCTTATTGGGGACAAGTGCACTGAAGCCCCACGCTGCAGGAAAGGGGAGAGGGGGTGGGGGTGGGTGGGGGTAGCAGAGGCCTTGCACTCTTATTGCACTAGTGCCAGGCAGCTCAAAGCTGGGGTGCACCGTTGGGCATGGGACTGAAGCCATGCTGGGGTCACCTGAGCAGAGGGGCAACCCTCTGGCTTTGGGACGGGGATGAGGTCCCCTTTGGGCACTGGGGCTCCAGGCTGAGCTGGGGCCATGCAGTGTCACACCCCACCCCCCACCCCCAGGACCCTTTGCCAGGAAGGCTGGAGTGCCCACCCCCCCCTCCTGCGGGCCGTACTGCTCATTAGGAGCCTCGTTAGTGTGAGCAGCTTAATCGGAAGA